TTAAATAACAGGATTCCCCAAAATTTCCCATATTTTCAGGGTTTCTGCCTTCCCCCCCCCCCCCCCCCACACTTCCCCCATTTTCCAATATTTTCCTGGGAGCCGACGATTCATCATGTCTGTGTGTTTCCCTCCTGAGAGGGGGGAAGTGAAGACACGGGCGGGGGCGCGACGCGGGCGGGGCACCGCGCGCCTCGCGCTCCTCGTTTTCCTCGGCGGGCGCGCCCGCGCCCTCGCGCTCCTCGGCGTGGCCGCCGCTTGAGGCGCGGCCCGCTGGCCGCGACTCGCCCCGCCCCGCCGCCTCCCTCCCGCGGGAGCGCGCCATCTGTACGGCCGGCCCTCTACAATTACTCAATATGAATATACTCTCCCTCTTCCCCTGACGGCGTCCGGGGGGTAGCCGCGAACCCTCCGCGTACTGTTTTTTTACACACAGGATGCCGGAAAATCCCGGGAAACGACTCTCGCTGAGGCGCCGGCGTCATTTTTTCCCAAAATGCTGCTCTCGTTGAGGCGCCGGCCTCATTTCTGCTCCCGAATCGTTCCGAATCGTGCTCCCGCTGCAGCGTGGCCTCATTTTCGGATCGGTGTTTGGCCTCCGTCGTTCAGGATGGCGTTCTCGCCCCAGCGCGGGCCTCTTTCTTGCGCGCCCATCCGCCCTCCACCACCGCGCCGCACCACCACCACCACCACCACCACCACCACCACCACCACCACCACCACCACCACCACCACCACCACAACCACCACCACACCAACCACCACCACCCGACCACCACCACCACCACCACCACCACAACCAGCAGCACCAGCCCAGCACCAACACCACAGCACCAGCACCAGCACCACCACCACCAGCAACCACACCATCACACCACCACCACCACCACCCCCACCACCACCACCACCACCACCATCCACCACCAACCAGCACAACAACCACCACCACAACCCACCATCACCAGAACCAGTACCAACACCACCACCACCAGCACCACACCACCACCACCACCACCACCACCACCACCACGACAACCACGCACACACGCACGCATGCACGCACGTGCACCACCACCCACTACGCACGCGCGCGCGGAGCCACAGGTCCGCTACGACACGCGTCCGCGGATAGAGAAAATCAGCGCCATGGTAAGGGATGGGAGGGAGGGGTAGGACGTCAGATATGACGCGAGCGCTCCTAGCTTGTCCTCTTCCCCCTCCTCCTCCTCCCCCTCCTCCTCCTCCTCCTCCTCCTCCTCCCCCTCCTCCTCCTCCTCCTCCTATTGCTTCGCCTCCTCCTCCTCCTCCTCCTGCTCCTGCTCCTCCTCCTCCTGCTCCGCCTACTCCTCCTCCTCCTGCTCCCCCCTCCCCCCCCTCCCCCTCCCTCCTCCTCCTCCTCCTCCTCCTCCTCCTCCTCCTCCTCCTCCTCCTTCCTCCTCCTCCTCCTCCTCCTCCTCCTCCTTCCTCCTCCTCCCCTTCCTCCTCCTCCTGCCTCATCCTCCTCCTCCTCCTCCTCCTGCTCCCCCCCCCTCCCCCCTCCATCCTCCCCCCCTTCCTCCCCCCTCCTACTCCTCATCCTCCTTCCCTCCTCCTCCTCCCCTCCTCCTCCTCCGCCTCTCCTCCTCCTCTTCTCCTCCTCCTCCTCCTCCAATTCCTCCTCCTCCTCCTCCTCCATCCTCCTCCTCCTCCTCCTCCTCCCCTTCCTGCTCCTCCTCCTCCTCCTCCTCCTCCTCCGCCTCATCCTCCGCCACGTCTTCATTTACCTCCGACGTCTTATCACGCATCCCGTCACCGTCGAGGGCCGAGGTATCCAGGGTCGGCGGCACTGGCCGTAAGGCCTTAGCAATATGAACATTTGCGAGCGTTTTCGGATTCAAGCAACACATGGAAATGTCGGTATGGGCGCCGTTCCCCTCCAACCCTTCCTCGCCCTCCTCAGCCCGCAACAGCAACTTAACAACAAATCTTGGACCCGCACATTCCCTTTGTATGATGAACTATTTGACTGACAGCAGTGTCGGACGTTTGAAATCAAGATCGCAAACATGATCGCACAATATAGCTCAAAGCAAGGAACCCAGAGAACACATCAACTCAGCAACAAATCTTGGACCCGCAGATTCCCTTTTATAGTGAATCATTTTGCTGGAAGAAATCAGCGGGGTAAAACGTGTGCCCACGTCACTCCTCCCCGTCCTCGTATCCCTCCCTCGCCTTCGTCCAGAATCCGTGAAACCATTTCTGAAAATTCGCGAGCGTTTCCTACTTCAGACTACACGCGTAAGTGGTGGTCCAAACGCGAGGCCCCAACCAGTCATCCCCCTTCCCCCTCAGCCCGCCCATGGCCCGCAGAAAATAATGTTTGAACATTTCCGAGCGTGTCCTGCTTTTAACTACACATGGAAACTGTGGTGCGAATGTGGGGCCCCAGCCATTCACCCGGCCTTCCCCCTCAGCCCGCTCATAGCCAATAGAAAGCATTTTTGTTGGGGAAAGGAATGTTGAGAGTGTCTATTGCTTCTCACTGCACACGAAAACTGCAATATGAATGCGGGGGCACAGCCCATCCATTCCTTTCCTCCTCAGCCCGCCCACCCCCTAGAAAAATTATCCTGGCGAAAGACCCAACCATATGCGGTTGTGAATGCCGTGTTGTTGCACCGCTTTCGGTGGAACTTTCTACGTATGTGGCCACGAGCCGTGTGAGGAATGCGTGAAAATTGGGCGGCACCGCCACGCGAACCCCGCCACTGGGGCCTTCGGTGGAGCTCTCTACGGGGCCACGAACTGTGAGAAGGGTGCGCCGAACCGGGGCGGCGCCGCCATGTGGACCCTGCCGCTGGGGCCTTCGGTTGAGATCCCTACGGGGCCACGAACCGCATGAAAGGCGCGCCCAAATGGGGCGGCGCTGCCGTGTGGACCCTGCCGCTGGGGCCTTCGGCTATTCTCCCCATGGGGCCACGAACCGTGTGAGAGGTGTGCCAAAGTGAGGGGCGGCGCAGCCATGTGGACCCTGCCGCTGGGGCGTTCGGTAGAGCCCCCTACGGGGCCACACACCGTGAGAGGGGTGTGCCAAAAATAGGGCGGCGCCGCCATGTGGACTCTGCCACTAGGGCCTTCGTCTGATCTCCGTAGAACTTCCACGATCGTCGCAAGCTCTTCCCTTCTGGGGGTCGGCGGAATGGCGTGAACCACTCGAATGACAATTGCAACCCGTGAGTCTGGCTCGCGTGACGTTCGCACACCCGCGCAGGTGCGGCAAACTCTGGAGGCGGTGCAGTGCGAGCGGTGCTCACCGTCCCTTTCCGCGCCGTCGCCTTTTCGGGGGTGAGCACCTCTTCCTTCTCCCCCGTCCCCTCGGCGGCGCGCCCAGGGGGCAAGGCAGAGGGGGCGCGCCTTCTCAGACGGCTCAGAAGGCCGCCAGCCTTCTGAGAATTTCTCTGAGCCTGCACCGGCGCCGCAGAAGGCTCCTCGGAAGGCCAGAGGGCTTCCGGGAAGCCGCGCCGCCTTCTGAGGAGGCCTGCGCCCTCTCACTTCCCCCTTGGCGCGCCGCCGACTTTCTCCTCTCGCGCGGAGGCGCCGAGATGGAAGCGGGACGGGTGGTGGTCGCTGTCTCGCTCCAGGGCCTCTTCGTACTTGAGGATGGCGTCGCGGATGCTCCCGCAGCCCTCACGGTGGCACCCACTACTGACTCTCACCCCTCCCCCGCCAGCGTTCCGCGTTCCCAATGCATGACGCCTACACTTGTCAGAACGGGAATGCACACATCTTTTGCTTCAGTCATCTTCGGGATGGGGGGCTGATCTTCAAGGCCATGTTCGTACCAAGGGAAGCAAGAAGTGTATACACACGTGCGACCGACATTCGTCAATCAGGTGTCGCGCGTTCCCCGAACGAGTCAAATGGAGGCGAACACCTTTTTCCCTACCTAGGCTCTGCCTAGAAGGGTTCTTACTCTCTTAGCATAAAGGGGCCGGGCAGTGCAAAGCGCCCCGGGCGGTTCCCCCAGTCCCCGCCCCGCGGTTCCCCCCAGTCCCCGGGGAGCTTTAGCTTTAGCTTTAGCTTTAGTTTAGCTTTAGCTTAGCTTTAGCTTAGCTGTAGCTTAGCTTTGGCTTAGCGTTTCGCTTAGCTTTTCGCTTAGCGTTTAGCTTAGCCTTTAGCTTAGCTTTAGCTTAGCTTGAGCTTAGCTGTAGCTTAGCTTTAGCTTAGCTTTAGCTTAGCTAGCTAGCTTAGCTTAGCTAGCTTAGCTTTAGCTTAGCTGCTTGCTTAGCTTTAGCTTAGCTTTAGCTTAGCTTTAGCTTAGCTTTGGCTTAGCTTTAGCTTAGCTTTAGCTTAGCTTTAGCTTAGCTTTAGCTTAGCTTTAGCTTAGCGTTACTGTTACTACTAATGCTGCTTTCCTAGGGGTTCCAACTCCTAGGTAGGGTCGCACTGGGATAATCAAATATGGTACGCTGCTCCATTTGAACACTCTATGTCAGATGGCGGCTTTTCCATGCCTGCGGCGCAACCCCTAACGTGGCCACAGAGTCTTACCACGAACAGCGCGTGGCAGCCTCCCGCTCACATATTTTGATGCGCAAGGCCGGCGGGCGGCCAACAATTGCAATGCATGAAAAAAAACAGACGCGTCCTTAACCTGCCCTGGTGCGTAAACAAGTGGTTCGAGCATGCCCCTAAATGGGCCCGATGCTGCATTGCACTAAATGGAAGGGACCTCAAACCATGCGTCCGTTTTTGGCGGGGCACGGCGGCCGCGCGCACGCGGCCTGGGTGTCGCCGTGCAACCCCTCGGGGTCTGACGCTGCTCTCTTGGCCGGATAATGTCAGATGCTTCGCACGTGAAATTTCCACTGCGCAATGAACCGCCGGCGCAGTCGCCGCGCCGAGCCTTTTCGACAAGGGCCTAAATGACGTTAAAGTGTGACAGAAGTGCTGATTATTCACCCCCATATGCCTTTTGTATATTTTTTCCATTACCAATCACCCGAACCAAAGAATTACGGTGTGTGTGTGTGTGTGTGTCTGTGTGTGCGGAATCACGGAGTATCTTTTTGGGGGCCTCTCTATTTCCCACAACCTATCGTTTCGGCTGTAGCCCGCTGTCACAAATCCTGTCAATCCAGAAGAACTTCTTGCCCTACTCGTCGCCGTGGGACGCGCCTTGGCCCAACGATTGCAACGGCCTGCGCACGTTTCGCAGCTTAGAGGTGCCCGTCGCGTGGCGCACGTATTTTCTCTCTTGGTGGGCGAAATGTAGCCATGAGAAAACGATGAAGCATTCGTGCCCGCAGAACTAAGTCCTCCTCCTCCTCCTCCTCCTCCTCCTCCTCCTCGTACCCCCCCACTCCTAAGCCTTCTCCGGCAAATATCACACCGCACCAAGATGCATCACGACCCGTATTGGATGGTATTCAAAAGAAAATCAACACGATGTGCGGGCTGAACCTCGTGAAGGCGCGCCAACCGCATCGCAGGACAGGATTAAACAGAGCCCACCTCCGCCAAACCGAAACACAACATGCGATAGAGCGCGTGCCAGGTGCCCACCTGATCGTTGGAACCAGGAGCAGACGGCAAGTGCCGTTATTCGTTAAGGACGACCAGCGGCCAGGCGCTCAAGAGATGGCCCGGCCAACCTGCGGGGCAAACGGCGGCCCCAGGGCCGCCCGCTCTTGCCCCCCACCTCTTTCCTTTGCTCCACCTCCCCTCCAGCCCTTTCCCACTTTGGTGCGCTGGGAGTGGGAAGCGATGGGGGACGAGGTAGGTAAGGGGGAGGAACAGGAAAAGAAGAAGAAGAAGAAGAAAAAGAAGAAGAAGAACGAGGAGCAAACACAATATATTGACGATGATGATGATGCCGATGATGATGATGATGATGATGATGATGATGATGATGATGATGATGATGATGATGATGATGATGATGATGATGATAATGATGATGATGATGATGATGGTGATGATGATGGTGACGATGATGATGAAGAGGATGTTGTTGATGATGCTGATGATGCTGATGCTGATGCTGATGCTGCTGATGATGATGATGATGATGATGATGATGATGATGATGATGATGATGATGATGATGATGATGATTATTCGGATGACTATGATATTTCACGTTTGTAAGACAGGGAGAGGATTGAGAGCTCACGCCCCTTCCTTCGTCCGACTCCATGCTCCCAAACAGGCCGTGCACCACGAGGGAACGGACTCCCTTGCGCGCGCCAGAACTTTGAGCGCGTCGAAGTGTCCGCTCTTGGTCGGGTGCTCGCCTCGCGTGTGGCGGTCCCTCACCGCTTCCGCTCTGTCTCCACGAAGACCTCCAGGACACGCAGTGACGAGTCAAACCATCCTGGCCCCGGGCGCGAAGGCGCCGCACGCGGAGCAAAACGCCGCGCTTCTTGCCTACCACATCCACTGCGACTCGTGCATGGGGCGGCTCCATCAAGCCAGTTGCGCCGCGGGCGGCGGCGTCGGCGGCGGAGGCGCCTCTTCCTCGGCCGCGTCTGTCATGCTGGCTCGGCCGCTGTTCTCGCCGCTCGCCGCTGCCAGCGCAATGGCCGCCCCCGCGAGGGCCGCCGTTGCTGCCGCCGCGCCTCGCCCACCGTCGCCTCGAAGCCCCCCCGAGCCTCGCCGATGCTGCCGCTCGCGGGCTGGCCGAAGTCCAGGCGCCCCGCGCGCGACCACGCAGCGACGCCCTCCACGATCAGCGCCGACCTGTGGTGGCGGCAGGGGACCTCGCGGCAGGATGGGCCTCGCATCTCGCGCGCCATCTCCTTCCGCTGTCTGCAAACCTCCTCGAAGCACCTCAGTGCTACAAGGCCAGGGGGCCTGGCTCCGTCAGCCTACTGCGGCGCCTCCTCGCCTATCTGCGCCGCGCGGCCGATCCACGATGCAGTCCAGCCCCCCATCCGGCTGGCCTTCTCCGCGCGCGCCAGATGCTCGTCGTGGAATGGATGCATCGCCGCCGCCTTCACGGCGTTCTTGTCCACAATGTGGCTGCCCATCCTCTGACAGTCCGCGATGCGGCCCTGCCTCGCGTCCTCGAACGTTGCGTGGGCCTTCGCCTTCGCGGAGTGGTTGGCTTCGTCCCCCAACTCGCCGGCGAGGTGCCAGAACCGCTGCCGCACTTAGCGGAAGGGTCGGTCCCAGACCAAGCACCGGCCGCGGCCTGCGTCCCAGCCGTGCAGCACCATCGCGCAGTCGGTGAAGATGCGGAAGTGGCCCAGTGCCGCCTGCGTGGCCTCGCGCAACGCCACCAGCTCGGCGGACCTCGAGCACTGTGGCAGCAGCCAACGCACGGTGCCCAGCAGCTCCTGGTCGATCTTGCGGTCCCGCGACACCGTGATGGTAGCCCAGCCCGCGCGTGCCGCCTCCGCCCATTGCGTCTTCAGGGCGGAGCCGTCCACGAACAGGTCGCCCCGCGGCGGCTCGCCGCCCCCTCTGACGACCCCCGTCATCTCCATCCGGCGGCCCCCCTCGCCTGGTGGAGGGGGCATGGCCTACATTCCCGATGGCCTTAGGCCCCGCGACCTGAGCGGGTCCTCCTCCTCGAGACCCTCGACGAGCTGGCTCCTCGCGGTCCTGGTGGCGGCGCAGCTACGCGCCAGGTGCCTCGCCGCCCCCAGAGCTGCGCATTCGATCGGGCAGTTCCCTGGCGACGCCAGCGGGGCGCTCGGCGTGGACGAACGCCCAGTGAACGCGTTCGTCGTGGATGGTCGTGCCGCTCTCGCCATCTGGACGTCGGTGAGCCTGGCGACCTCTGTCTTGGCGTGCTTGATGGCTGCGCCTCCGTCTCCTTGGCTGTGGGCCTTGTGCTGGCGGCCGCCTTCCCCCGTGGCGGCGCTTGTGGGCTCGCGCGACCTCCGTCTTGATCGTGTGCCCGCCCAGCTCGAACATCTTCGGCGGCCTCCCTTCGTCCGTCTCGAAAGCTCCTGGTCTGATGGGGGCCCATCCTGGGTGCGCGCGCGCCGCAGCCACCGCGCTGGAAAGCCCGCGTTGCGCGAGGCCTCCTTTGCCATTTTCCTGCGCGCTCCGCGCGCTGGCGGCGAAGGCGCCCCCGAACATGCGCCCCTCCTCGTCGCCGCTCCGTGTCTGGATCGCCCGCGCCCGGGGTTGGGTGGGCATTCGCGCGCGCTCGAACATGGGGCCCGCCTGCTGCTCCGCGGCCAGCAGGGGCCTCAGCGACTGCGAGCGCCCTCGCCCGCCGCCGAAGTGGAGGCCCCCCGCCTGGCTCCTCGGCTTCTCCAGCCGCGCGCCTGGCCGCGCCGAGGCGGCTGCTCCGCGCTGGGTTCCAGGGCGCGACCCCGTGGCCGCGAGGTGCTCCGCGGCCTTCTTGGACTGCCTCTGCGCCGCCATGATCCTCGGCAGCTGCTCCCGCGGCTTGCTGTGCCTGGCGCGCGCCGCGTTGAACGCGCCGCCCTAGTGCAGCGCGAAATCGATCCCCATGCTCTTCGTCTCCTCGACGAGCGGGGAGATGAATCGTCCCTTGTTCAGCTCCCGCAGCAACGTCCTCGCCGTGTCCTGGTCCGGCGCCAGCGCCTCGCAGTCGGGCGCCGAGATCTGGCGACCTGGCTCCTCCAGCTTCTTAATCGCCGTCCCCGTCGTCTCCGCCAGGTGCGCGCAGATGGCTGTCCTTTGCCCGTGTGCGCTGAGGGTGGCGTCGTCGAACATGCTGTTGAGGTGGGCCTTGTGCTTCAGCTCCCGCCGCAACCTCAGGTGCTGGGCTCGTCTGCCATGGCGAGCGCGTCGCACCTGGGGGGGCGTCCAATCTGCGAGCAGCCAGCCACTAGCCCCGCGTTCAGGCGCACGGGGGGCCCGACCGCGGTCTCGAGCTTGATGCGGCGCGGGCCAGAGTAGACCGACAGCGCCAAGCCCAGTAACCGAACAAAGTATCCAGCCATCGCACCTCGCTCCTGAGCGGCCGCCAAGTCCACCAGCTCGCCCGCTTTGTACACGTCCAGCATGGCGGTGGCAGAGAACGTCTTTTGCGCCCCAGCCGCTTCCTTGGCCAGCAACTGCCGCCCTGCCGCCACGCTGCACCTTCCGACGCTCTATCGCGTTCTCCCCAGAAGCACTGCTGCACCTCGTCGCGGATGTCGTGCCCCCATCGCCGAAGGAAGTGCTGTCGCACCCTATTCTAAAGTCTCGAGAGCCAGCTGAGGGGCCCAATTGGTCTGGCCCCCCTGCCAGCTTGGGCAGCATGACCACCAGTGCCTCGCGCCCGCCACTGGGGTAGGTGCCCAGTTTCTCGCAGCCCATCGCCAGGTCGATCACCGCTTCGATGAGCTCGTCGCGCTCGAGACTGAGCTGGCGCGGCCCCAGCTTATCACCGCCCGCCCCCGTCCTCGCAGGGAAAGACCTGACAGCTCCGTGAGTCTTGGCAGGGGTGCTCCCGCCGTGGTTTTCGCTTCGAACGCATCCCTCTCGGGTAAGACGCGCCGCGCGCCCGTCGCCCAGAAGTCGTGCGCCAAAAACCAATCGCTCCTGACCCATTGCTGGGGTTGAACTGCCCCGGCCCCGACGTCCTGCGACGGACAGGCCCAATTCTGCAAACGCCTGCTGAGCAGCTCGCCGCGGGCCTTGTCGAGCCCCCCCCCCCGCGTGGCCTTCGCCCCCGGGCGAGCCTCCCGCGACGAGGGTGGCCCCCCCAAGGCTGCAGTCGGCCCTGGGCTGTGGTCTGCGGGGAGGGCCGCGGCGCCGCCGTGCGCCCCTCCCAGGGCTCCGACCCATGGGCCTTCAGCTTCAGTCGCGCTCCCCGATGTGGTCTGGATGCTGCCGCCTCCAAGTCATTCTTGCCCATCCACCACCTCGCAACCCAGCGCCCTGTCCGACGTGTCCCTCGGGGCGATGGGCCAGTCCAGGTGCGGGGGCGGCTTGGCGGGGTCGAACCAGCGCGTTCCGACGCCCCTGGAGTCCGACGCGACCGCGTCGCTAATCGGCGCCAGCCAAGCGCCTGCGCGGCCGTGGGGCGTCCTGGGGCTGACCTTCCAGTCCCCGCCGGGAGCCCAACTTCTCCCTCCTGTCATGATGTCGTCACCCACCCCCATCGGCGCATCCTAGCTCTCGCCCCCCAGGTCGTCCGTGGCCAGGTAGACGGATCCGAGGAGGAAGCTTCCTGCCTTCAAGCCGTCTGAGTTCACGATGGTCGCTCGCCCTTGCTTGACATGCGCTGAGCCTTTGCCGAGCGGCTCCGCCATGCCTCGGCGCTTCCTGACTGCGATGCCCGTGCCGCCAGTCGCTGCTCGAACTCCGCCTGCACTTCCTGATCATGCAACTCCCGCGGCGATGGAAGCCTAGGCGCCCGCCTTCCAACGCCAGTGCTCCTGCGTCTCCACCTGGTGCTTCTGCAGGAGGTGCTCCTGGAAGCAGTGCGCGTTGACATTGTGGGACTTCGATGCGAGCTCCGTCCCCCCCCCAGAGCGACGTTGGGGGCCCCTGCCGCTGCCATTCGCCTAGGGGGTCGCGAAGAGCTTGCCTCGCCTCCTCCGTCACCCAGCAGCGGGCGCATCGGCGGCAGTGCCAGACCCGCTGTAGGGCGACGAGATCTATGCATATCCACTGCTCCTGGCCAGGCCAATCCTGGGCCCAGGAGCGGTGTATACGCCCTCCTGGCCTGGCCAGGGAGGCATATACACAGCTCCTGGGCCCAGGATGGGCCTGGCCAGGAGCAGTGGATATGTATAGATCTCGTCGCCCTACGCTGGGCCATGCGCGCCGCCTGGCTGTCTCTACACTGCCCCGAGCCTCGCAGGGGCCCGAGACGCCGCCAGACCATGCGCATCGCCAAACTGTCTCTCCACTTGCACCGCCGACGCTAGCTGCCGCGCTCTCCGTGTCGCTGCCTTCGTCACCCTTCGGACCGCTTGCCACGCGCCTGCGCCAGCCCCTTCTTGCCGAGGTGCTGCAAGGCGGCGGCGGCCTTCTCCTGGGCAGCCGCGCTTCTATCTTGACCTCCTGCTCCGTCCGCTGCCTCTGGTTCGCCCTCGGCAGGAGCAACGCTGCGGGCGTCCAACGGAGTCCAACACTGCGTTCAGCTCATGGGCGCCCTTCCCGTGCCGGCCTCGGAACGCTCCTCGCTCGCCTCGGCTTCGTTGGGGACGATCCTGGCGAGCTCCTGGGTGGGGCCGACCAGCTTGCCGTGGGCTTCTGCGAAACCTGGGGCAAGCATGCCTCTGGCCTGCTCGAGCAGCTCGTCGAACTTCTTGGCGCTCCCGAGATCGCAGCTGCGGCGCCCCCTCCTCCTGCCCCTCCTGCTGGTGGTGCTGCTTGTGCTGTCCGCTGCACCGTCAGTGCGTCCAAGGTCGACTGGCTCGCCTTACCGTCGCCCTTGCCGATGCAGCCATGCCCCGCACTTCGATGGGCTTGGCGCCCAAGGTCTTGGCCTCCAGGTCTAGCTCGTTGGCCGCCCTGGACTCCGCGTCGTGCTTCTCCTTCGGGCCCATGATCCTGTCGGACTGCGGCTGGTTCCCAACCGCCTGCTCTCCCCGAGGGCCCCGGAAGCCTCGATGATCTTGAGCGTAGCCGAGCTCATTCCGTAGCCTAGCGAGGGTGGCGATGACCGCCGCGGATGCCTCTGTGGTCGAGCCGTCTCCTTCTCCCTGCGCCTTCCTGAGCTCCGCTTCGCGCTGAGCCTGCGGAAGCAGGCTCGATGCTCTGCTTCCAGGTCGCACCGCGCCCGTCACTGAAATCGTCCTGCTTCCAAGTCGCGCCGCGCCCGTCAACGCTCCGTGACCGCGAACCACCCCTGCTCGCTAGCGTTGCCGCCCCGCAGCCGCGACGCCAGCCCCGCAGAGTCCAATTGTCGTTCTGGCTGCGCGAAGGGCACGTCCCCTGACTTTGCGCCTCGCTATCCTGCTGCCGCCTGCCGCGCCGCGGCTAGGCGCGTGGCAGACTCTGCTATGGATCGGGCCTGTGGGGGCCAACCCCGCTCGAATGTGGGAGGTTTTGGCCCTGGGCGTTAGAATGGTCCCACCGCTCAGCGCGCCCAGAGAGCCCGCGACCAAACGGAACCCGTATCGGCCTTGAGCCATGAAGGCTTCAGCCACAATGGCTGCGGATGATGATTCTGGTGATGATGACGATGAGGAGGATCAGTGGGAGCGGTGGTATGAGGCGTTTCGTCGCCGCGCCGCGGAACCGCGGAATCTCGGCCCTCTCGCGCGTCCGCTGTCGGTTGGGGGGCCCCGTCGAAATCCTAGCGGGCCCGCTGGCCCCCCCCCCGACCCCCTGCTAGCCTGGGCCAAGCCGTCGCCTGGCCCCGGAAGTGGTGCCCAGCATGATGGTGGTCCTTGTTGCCCTATCCTCCTCGCTGGCACCTGGCAACGCCGTCGGGGATGCGTCAACGGTGACGCGGCGCATCCGCCTGGCATTCGACCCCCGCGCGGAGATGGGCCCCCGCTGGTCGCGACGCCCCCGCCCTGTCAGCATTGCCCCGCGAGTCCAACAAGTTGGTGACGCCAGCCACCCCGTCCTCCTC